GTAAAAATAAATCCGACAATGTTAATGATAATTTCCTAAGTCGGGAGGCCGACAAATCCACATTTGTTAAAGAAAATAATAACTGGGACACTGAAACTTCCAACAATAGTTGGAATGTTGAAAATAACTGGACATCAGAGACCTCCAAAGATAATCGGGGGACTGATTCTCTCAAAAATGGTAAAACAATTAGGGATGTGCAGAGATCTCCTAATCCTGGAGTACCTAGATCTGTTGTGACTGCAAGATCACCAGTTCCCAATATATCACGGACGATTCCTTCGCAGCCAAAGGCATCTTGGGCTCAAATTGTGAAGTGTGTTTTCAATATTATCATGAAGTAGTATTATATAAGCTCGAGAGAGATTAAAATAATAATAATAATAATAATCAAAAGGAGAGATTAATCAATATTTCATATTTACATATTGTGCATATAGACCTGAGTCGAAACCGGAGCCAAAACCTGAACCCGTCTCACCTCCTATACATAAAAGCTCACCTGAGAACATAAAAGTTGTATCTCCAAAAATAACGAAATCACCGATTCCTGTACAGTCTTCACCACCACCTAAAATACCTGAACCTATCAGCTTACCTTCTCCACCAGAAGAAATGGCAGCAGCACCTGTAGTCGCAGTCGTCAAATCAGAAGAGATCAAGGGGTCATCCAAAGAAATTACATCTCCAGAACAACCAGCAGTTACTCCTACTACATCTTCACCAGTTGTAAATGTTTCACCACATTCAAAGGAAATTTCACCACCCGGTATCATTAATAAAACTAAGCAAGCCCCCCTTCGTAGGTTGAAGCAAGATGCAGCTGTCGTAATGCCAAGTGCTGGGGCTGGTTTAGAAAGGGTTGGCGTGCAATTTGGAAGTTTGAACATATCAAATTCCAGTGAAGAGAACGCGGAGACGGAGGCACCTACTCAAAGAACTGAAGAACGATCACCTGTAGCAGTGGAAACATCAACTCCTCAACCACTTCAAACTACAACGCCTATTCAACAGCAACAACAGCAACAACTACTTCAACAACAGTTGCAACAACAGTCACAGGTTCAGCCATCATCCGTTTCTTCACTGTCTCAAACGAGTTCCATAAATCGATCAATTCCAACCACATCAGTACAAAATACTTTGCCGTCGTCCGCCGGCAACGTTCCGTCTGCTACACCTGTGAATGCTGCTGCTCCGACACCTACACCCCAAAATTTCAATCCATCGTACTTTAAGCAGGAGCAAACATCCGCTTATCTAAATCAACAGCATCATTTAGGGTTGGCTACGGAACCATTAAATGCTCCTTACGGTTCTTATCTGCCGAGTCAGCAACTGTCAGGATTTAGTATGGGTCCAATTCAATCGTTACCAGAATATGGTGCACTGTATCCTGATGCCCAGCGCATGATGGTAAGTGAACATTAAATTGATAGCAAGTTTACCATTTCGTATTACTAAATTTTATACATCTTTTTTAGGGTTACTATACTGCTGACCCTGCGTATAACCAAGCATCCCCTGTTACTTCTGCTGGATATCAGGGACGAGGAGATAATAAGTACACTCCTGACACAACTACTAGTTCATCTAATCAAACAACAAGTCAACAATCTACTGGAACACAACAACAATCAACAAACCAACAACAGGGTCAAAACCCTCAACAACAAGCATATCCACTTAGTGTACAGTATTATCCATACTATTATATGGCGAACCAATTTCCTTCTGCATATCAACAATCTGGGTATGGTCAACCCTTTGTAAATAAATCCATGTATCCCATGTATAATCATCCACATTCGACCAAACCTGGATCTGCTTCAGGTGCATCACCTTATGGTTATCCTACAACACCTACCACGCCTAATAATCCACATCACTATTCACACACCTCAAATACTGGCTACGACGAGATTACAGCAGCACAAATACATCATTTACCTGGTGTTCATGGCGTTCATGATTATCCAAAGGCCTATGGTGGTATTCCACCTCTTAATTTTTTGGGCAACGCGGCAGGTAATAATCCGCAACCCACATCAGGATCCGCGGGATCAAACTCTACCGGCGGAAAAACTAGCAACAATGGTAGTTCGGAATTGAATAGTCCAGCACAGTATAAGGGATATGCCGACAAAGCTTCAGCCGGCTCACAACAAGCTGGAGTTGGGCAATCTGGAGCTCAACAACAGCAGCAGCCTAATCCTAATTACTATGGGCAACAAGCTCAACAAATGTTTAATAATTACCAATATCAGCAGACACATCACCAGTACCACCCACATCAAGCACATCACCAAGCAGCTGGACGTAACCAGCAACAATATTGGAATCAGAGCTAAATTAATTTTACAATTCGAAAAAGGATGGATTTGGAGCAATTTTGAATGATTTGTAGTTTAATGAAAAGGTGTTGACAGAAATTTCCATATTCATTGCATTGATCGATAGTCGAGAATAATGAAGGACGAACCATTTCTTTTTTTCATTGTTGTCTGGAGGTTGAGTTTTGAGACTATTTACTAGTTATTCAGCGTGTTTATTGATATAGTTAATATTTGAAATTTTTTCTTAGTAGTATTGTCTGTAAAGTTTTTCTTTTTCTAAAAAAAAAGTCATCATACATCCGACAAAATCAAATTATCAAATCACCCTACTCCAATCACAAAAAGAACAATTTCAAACTATCAATGCTATTATATATCTGTGTGTAATTAAAATTGTCATGTGACATTGTGTATAAAAATGATTAAAAGTCGAACGTTTATCTGTTCGAATATATATATCCTATGTACCAATTTAAAGATTTGAATTATAATATTTATGCGTCTAAAAGTCGAATATTGAATAGCAGGCTTTTAAAGATTACAATATGCGCATACTTGTTATACCATTTTTATTGGAACTATATCATTTGTAATTTATTAATACATAAAACAGTATCACTAAAAAGTCGGTTCAAAATAAGGCATACAACCGGAAGTGTTGCTGTTCGTTCTATGAATAGCTGAGGCATACATAGAAATGAATTTTACACTCTGAACCGTGAATCTACTTTTTTTAAGCATGTCATTTTTTAAACGTCTGATATTTTTTTTAATAATGGACTACTTATACAGATTCTTGAATTTCTGGTTCTTTGAATTCTCTACCCCCTCCCATTTTAGAACCGGTGTCAAGATTATCACCGTGTAAATCCAATAACTTTTGTACATCAAATTTGGGACTTTTAAGGATCTTGACCTTACGGATGTATACCTGATAACGATGTTAGGAATTATAATGATAAAAAGATTGATGGAATTCGATAAACTATAATATATATATGCTTACATTTTGAAGTGGATAAATGCCTTGGCAAGCCTTTTCGATGTCACGACCAATTGACTCAGGCACGAATTTTAAAACTAGTTCCTTCAAATCAACAGAAGTTGCTTGTTGTGTCATGATATCAAACATCTTCTTACGAATTTGGCGAATTTGAGAGGACTGAGCGTATGTAGTCTTACTAACTTGATTTGGCCGCCTTCTGGTAAAGGCGATAGCAAAGAGACGTAACAAATAGCCATCAGTAGTCTTTACGTCGACGTGAGCTTCGATGAGAGACTAAAATTGTTTAAGTTTGCCCTATCAGTTTTTTCTTTCTTTTTTTCGTATCAATTTGTGATCATTATAAGATGGAATTACTTACCTGCCATTTCCTAACGAGAGATCGGAGTTTATCAGAGGTGAAGTCCATACCATGAAAATTGGTCAGTAAGTTTTTACCTTGTACTTCATCAACTCTGAGCTTGATCTTTCGGAAGGCTTGTTCCTCGTCTTTGTTCAAATCAGCCAAAGACACCTCAAACACACGACCCTTTAAAGCATCGTTGGCGTTTTCTATTTAACCAGTATTAACCATAGGTCGCAATATCGACCATCATAAAAATGAAGATTGATACTTACTTAGACCCTGTGTGCGGTTAACAAGAGTTTTACCGACATTTCTCACTTCAAAAATGGAGGGCGCTTTTACATCGTACCACTCTTTACGGGTAAAGGGATCAACACTTTCATATTTGAAATTTATTTAATTAGAATTTGTTAGGTACAATAGCTTGGCATAAACATCACCTGCCCTAACTTACATTTTCTTTTTTAACCCTTTTTTTCCTTTGCTGAGTCGTTTATTCTGTGAAAAACGTGTTAATTACTGCTACGCATGAAACAGTTAAGTTATATTATATTACCTTGCCAACGGCTAATCCATAAAAAAAAAAAAATTAGAACAGATGCATTGTAATTTAAAACAGAAAACGTTAACATACCCATATCAAATTCGGAAAAGGAGAAAGTACTTTTTTTTTTTTGATAATCAATATAAATTCAATAAGCTAATCGATGATTGGTCGTAGTAAAAAAAAATTTTTGCTATGTACTAAAAAAACAGCGCCTTTAAAAATAATCTCTAATTTAAGTAGTGTTAGTTTAGTAGAGACTTTTGAAATGGCAAAGAAGAAGGTAATTTTAAAGTACTTTTTATATTTAAACTGTTCAATTTTGGATAGGTACAAGTTCTCTAGCGGTAAAAAGATGCGGGCTTAATGTTTAAATTTGGTCTGCTCTTTTAGTATAGTTTGGGATAATTAAACGTAAAATTTTTAGATTATATCATATATTGTAGATTCTTTAATGAGTTCGGGAAAAATACTAAATTTGCCTCACTTTACGTTCGTAAATGTCGTAATCTTTTTCTAAAGGATTTCAAGACTTTCGACACTATACAACTAATAATAAAAAAAAAGTTAATAATAATGATTATTGTACAACAATTTATTTTTAGTTCTCAGTATACGTACGTACGTACGTACGTACAAAGTTTCCTTTACGAAATAAGAAATAGTAGACCTTATTTCAGAAACTACATCAAACTACCAATTATGTGCCAGAACTATAGTTGTGACCCGAAACCCGAAACCTTTCCGAAACCTTCAAATTAGAATGTTAATAACTAATGGACATTTACTATAAAGTAACAAAAACGTTCTTGAAATGCAATCTTACTTTAAGTCTCAAAGTTTGAATTATAATTCTAAGCCTTTCAGTATAGTGATAGAGTTTCGGAAAAGGTTTCGGGTTTCGGTTTCGGGATTTTATATATAGTTTCTGGTCACAACTTTAGCCAGAACCGACCTTCTTGACAACCACTTCCTCCGGAGTTCAACCTGGTGGCACCCAAAACCTTTGATTAAGTGTAACACTAATACTTTTTTTTTTGTTGTAGTTAGTGTTACCATCTTCAAAAAAGAAAACACTACCATGATGGTAGTGATTTTTTATTGAAAACGATCTCATCTACACAGGAAAGATGGTTCCGTCCATGTTTAATCCGTCCAGTTGGCAGCTAACACAAATAGAAAGTTAGCCTGAAAGATTTACAACTTCGAACTAATAATAAAAATACTTACTTTATTTCTAAAGCACTATGACCAAAAACGATAAAGCCTGATACACTCAACCTTGTATGTATCCAGCGATCTGACAGTGTTTTTCAAAAAATAAAAGCTATCTAAAAGAATATGCTATATATAATAAAGAAAACGGTAAAGGCGAACAGTAGAAATGTAAAGAAAAATAAATATATTTTTTTTGTTTTTATTGCTTTTCAAAAAAAAAATACGACATTCATATCGATATAATTGCAAGGATCGACAATCGGATTTATTTTAGATCTACCCGTGATTTCCCGTGATAATTAAAATCAAATTGTGATAATTTGTCAATCAACCAGCGAAGCTCATTATATATTCGAGGACAATCTTATTTTTAATTATTACTACCTTTACTAAAGAGCGTTACTATCCTCGAAATATATGATTAATTAGCAATATCATATACAGGTTATCCCCGTTAATATCAACCCCGTTAATATCAACCTCTTATTAAGAAAAAATAGGCTTAAGCTATATAAAAACTATCCCACTGTTATCAACCTTCGCACATATCAACATAATTGTCTAATCCAAATGGGTTGATATCAACGGGGGTAACCTGTGCTATATACTGTATTTCTCTAATTATTACTGTATTCGTATTTGTATCTATCAAAAAGAAGAAAACTTAAATAATAATTATATTTTTCAGTTATTAAAACTATTGCATTACGTTTCTTTATTAAAAAAAAGTAATTTAAATCTAAATACGATAAATTAATAACTTGTGAGAGTTTATTTTCAAAATCTAACTTTACCTTAAACACCTTGATCGTTCTTTTTATTCGACTATTTTTTTGCAATCAGTACTTGTATATCCGTTTTACTTACGTTTTCTAATTGCAAAATGTAATAATGCACATAGTAACTTTGCTTCTAAGTAAAGTCCTTTGTTTTATGATTATTTTGTGATTATTTTGTATAGCGAAGGGCGACTCTCTTCAAAAAAATTTTTCGTAAGTAACGTTGCAACTTGAAAAAGTACTTTAAACTGTATAAATTAGTTACCCGGGCAATTGATTTACATCAGCCAATCAGACGAATGTCCTTGTTTTTATGATTATTCTGTGATTATTTTTGCATAGCGAAAGGCAACGCTCTTCTGAAGCAGTTATGAATGAAACGTTGCAGGTTAAAAAAGTACTTTAAACTGTATAAATTAGTTATCCGGGCAATTGATTACATCAGCCAATCAGACGAAAGTCCTCCTATGACTGCAATACTACAAGAAGCTAATGTTTAAACCCATATTGCAGTATTGGTGCACTAATAAAAAATGATGGGAAGATAGTTTTACTTATCAAACATGCCCTAACCTTAACCTTAATATATGCGAACCTAATTTTAATTAATTAGGTAAAATTATATAAGTGCACTCTGCTTTAAGTAATCCCATATTTGGACGGTCTCCTGTAGTTTTGGGTTCGTTGAATATTATTCTTAAATATTCTAATATTACTCTTAACTAAGGATGGTAGAAGTTTTTTATGATGATTATGATATTAACTAGATTTAACCCACCATCCCTAATTTTATGCGCGGATTATGCTCTATTAATTATGCGAAATTAGTCCTGATACGCGAATGTGCTATAGATCCACGCTAGCCCTACATCTGGAAAGACTTATAGCTCACCCGTTGGGTGACCCGAGTATCACTACGCGAAACATTCCAGATAACAGATAAGTTTTCTTTCCGTTACTTTATAGTAATATCCTGTATCATCGTTATCGGGAAGTTATCCTCCTCCCTATTTCATCAGAGGAAACCAAATCAAAGATAAATTTTTTGTTTTCCGGTCTTAAACAGAACAAGATTTGTGTATAATTTATGGGGTACTCTTTCACTCTTAAATATGGATGTTGAAC